CCCCCCCCCCCCGCCTCCTATACCGTGCCTGTTTAGTTTATGGATAAAAAACAGTCAAAACTCTGCGGCAGACAGCAAGGACTACGACACGAGAGTATGTGGGTTTTTACACTCGTTCCACCCGTGTCGTAGGCCTAGTAGTTATGGATAGCGGGATTTGACATCGAGTTTAGCCTTCCCCCACCCCCACACTCTCACATCATGTGCAAAAGACACAAAAAGAAAAAAAAATAATCGCAAGTATTTTTTTTAATGTTTTTTTTTTTTAATTTTCCGCACTGAGTTGCGAAGTGTCTATAGTGTAGAAAGGTGCGGGCTGTATCCGGAGTATTTTGCCCTTTGAACCGTTCGAATCGGTTAAAGGGTTGCTTCAGAATTTGCACATATACAAATCTCCATTTTGTTTCACCAACGCCTGCGAACCTCCGGGTAGGCCAACCCGCAACACACAGTGCCTGCAAGCCTCAAGATAGGCCATCCCGCAATACACACTCGCCGAGATGTTGCCTACCTACTAGGCGCTCGGTCTTCCTTTCAGCACCGGTGACTCTGTCAACCCACAATACTCACGCACACGAATTGATGCCTACCCATCAGGCGCTCGATTCACTGCGCCTATCTACCCTCGGCGAAAACAAACTCGTCTCGAACGCAGTCGATGGCTGTACCGTCCGAACAGAAAAAGAAAACGAAAGTCCAGCAGCTCCAGCGATCCGCGTAGAGTTCAAGGCCATTTGACGACACCGCTCGTTTCCACACGTGTTACGATTGCATGACATGCTGGCCAGAGGTCCCGTGGGTCCTACGCCGTTCAGAGTCACAGTTCTCTAGTGAATCTTCTCCTCGCCACCTCATCGTTCGCTCGCCCTAGCTTTAAGATGAACCAACACATGTCGTGGTCTTTTGAGGCATGTCGTGCTTTGCTTAACCATGGCGTCACGGCGTCAATTGAATTTCCCAGTGAGAAATCAAAATCGATGTGATATCGAATCGACACCAAATAGATGTCAGTTATCGGAAATGTCTCGATTTTAAGACCATCTCAGGATCGATTCGACACGATAATCGATAATTTACCGACAACGATATCAGTTTGACATCATTTCGATGTAACTGTTTCTCACTGGGTTGTTCACAAACGTCAATGGACACAAGACTACTGCCGATCAAAATTGGCGGTCCACTCTGTTTTGCTCCGGTGCCATTTCCCTGTTTTTCGAGCTACAGCGCTGAGACTTTGCAGGTAGGTGCTGTCATCAATCGTCTTGAGGCTCACGAAGTGCGCACCCCGTGCGCCACCCCTTACGAGCTGTCTAACCCCTACAGTTAGGGAGGGTAAAAAAATCGCTCTAAACAGCTTCGAAATTGCCACTTTCAGTTCTGGGAAAGTCATGAGTTTTTGTGATAATCGGCCCAACTTTTCGTCCTCTTTCGATCGGCGTAAGCGAAATTGTGATCCGCCAAACCCACCTCCTCCTAGAGTCACCCCCACCTCCTTAAAGGGGTGAGTTTTGAGGAAAGTCCTACGCAGCTGGAAATCCTGTGGGTGGACGTCCACAGTACCCGGCCCAGCATGTGTTTTTTTTTTTTCGAATCGGATCATCCCCAGCCAAACTACCCCCTCGGAAGTCAAACCCTTGTTTGAATACCGGCCATTTTGTACCCAAAGGGTTGAAGTGAAGGCGTGAAAATTTCAGGGGCGGTTCCTTTTCTGTTCTCAAACACTTCTGTGGTGGCGAACCCGTCGTCACCATCTTCATCCCCTTCCTAGGGGGTGGACACCCCCATGTGCCC